TAATGCTTCAAACACCTTAACTTCTGAGGAAAATAAGAAAGTTAACAATTGTGAGCTTTTACTGTAGCATTCTCTGGCAAATTCACAAATGCATTTTATATTTTCTAGAAACACATGTTTTCTCAGTGTGGCACAAAACATGTTTACTCCTAGACTCAAATAGCTTTAGTTGCTCTGTAAAAAGAAGCCAAAAAGTAGATAAACCTATCCATATTTGGTAATCAATGTTTCAGTATTTTATTTAGAAATGACCTAGGTAGTATTCAAGGATTAATTTAACTTAACAAAACTTCAAGGTTTCAGGTTACCAAAACATTTGGGAAACTATTTAAAAAGTTCACCTAAAAACTTCTGACCCTCTTATATCTATTTAGTTACTCGTTCTCTGAATAATTACGTTTAATTACGAAAATTTCATCATACCAGGTTATTTTTCCTGATGACCAATTTTATAAACCGAAACAACATGAACTTATTTGATTAATAAATCCAGGTAGGATAAAAGATATGTGTGTGCATTATAGTTAATGTTGATAATTCTAGACATGTCTATTTCAATTAAACCAACAAATTTTAATCAGCTTTAATACTGGGTATTTTCCGAGATCACATGAACCCGAAAAGTATTTAGGCCTCTATTCTATTTTTGAGAATTTTATGAATACTTAATTCATATAAGCACCTAATTTTAAGTCAATTAATTGAATACAATTAATATTGTACATGTGGGGGAAATACCCATGTACAATACATATGTATAAATACATATACATATAGATAGAAGTCAACAGAGACCTTATAGCTTTTGTTTTAAAACTTTAGCCATGAGACAGGTAGAATAATGCAGAACTTCACTAGCTGGATCCAAATTGTGTGTCTGGAAGGTGAAATAAGTAAAGGTTACCTACTCAGGTAACTAAAGCTTTTTACTAGTATTTGTGGAGAAGACGCTTAAGATTTTCCTTACCCTCAGTTTCAAAGAACCTTATCCCCCTTTTGTTTTTCTTCTGGTAAGAATGACCTAAGTGTGTATTTCAAAGACATGGCCTAGCTAAGAGTGTGGGGACACCAGGTAGAGCCTTTACATCCCAAAGGCACAGGGGAAAAAAACACAAGTTCCTCCCAGAACAGACTTTGTTTCCTAAGGCCAGAATTTTTATAATACTGACCAGCCTTTTGAGATCGATAGAGGTGGTTTTAGAATTGGTAACAATAGATGAACTTGAATTGTTCCCAGAGCTGCATTTCTGGTTTTACTAAAATCTGTATGGTAAGGACAGTTGTTTTTAATTCCTCAAAGAATTGCATTACTGCCTAATGACACCAAACGGTCGATTTGTCCATCTAACCACTTTATTTTCGATTTGTTATGTATCAGGAAGAAGATTTCCAACTAAGATGAAAATCAGAGATTTCTATGTTCTGTTTGTCTTCAGGAAGTTTTAAGTAAATCCTTTTTTACAAAGCCTTTTAGAAGGTTTTTCTCTCCTTCTGGATGCATAGTTTTTAGTTTAGGGGAGAAGGCCTAAAATAAAAGTACAATCAGGCACTGAGTATCAGCTTCCAGTTTGGCCAACTTTTGACCACAGAGCTACTTTACAAAAATCTTTTAAATATTTCATTAGTTACCTGCTGGGACAAACAATAAGTATTTTTGGCAGGAGTGAACATCCCCTCTTGGAAGTAAGACGGGTCCCCCCAAAGAGGGTGCAAAGATGACTACTTTCCCAAGATCCAGAGAGTCACTACCAAAGACAACCAAAAGGAAGAAGTGACAACTGTCATGTCCAAGGCAGGCAGAAAACCAAGCCAAGTTCTTAGGACACAAAACGAGACAAGCGAGAAGGCAAGAGCTATCCCTGGGGAGAAAGAGAGAGTGGATAACTAGCGGGTTGGATCTGGAAAGGAAGAGACAACTCAAGAAATTTTATTTTTCCCCTTCTTGACTGGGCACTGCAGAGAGAGACTCAGGAGAGCTGACTCTGTAAGGACCCTCATCCTTACCCAGCCTCTGCCAGTTTTCCCAAGACCTCATCCGCAGGCCCCAAGTGGGCTTAGAGAGTGTAGCTTCAGTATCTACCAGAATCTGGCAAGGTTTTCCGTTCATTTTCAGTTTCCCTTGGCTGTTTAAGGGAATAACAGCCATTTACCAAAAACTCCCCCGGAGTCCCGTCAACTCTGGGAGAGGCCCATATGGGAGCTCTCCTTTGAGAGCAGAGCTAGAGGCATCCATAAGGCCATTAGCTTGGCAAACTTTGTTTATGGCCTGTTCCTAAGTCCCTTTCAAAGTTCTCGGCTCCGGTCATGAGTTCTGTCAGACTGATGGGAGCTCAGTTCCATCCTGGTTTATCTGTCTGAATCAGTCTACTAGCCTCAGGAACTGGTCCATTTACAAACAGGGCAGCAAGACCAAGGTTGGGTGGCCTCGTTTACTGTATGCAACCGGGATGCCATAGGAAGAGAGCTTCCAGACAGTCTTGAAAGTCTGCCACAGATTCATCTTTTTTGTTTGCTTGTTTGATAATAAACCAAATGGGGCAGGAAGGGAAAACTCCTTCCGACAATGGCTTTTAAAACGCCAACCACCATTTCGTAAGCTTTTTCTGGTCCATGAGGGAAGTGTGTTTAAGAGCGAGGATCCTAAATATCTTCAGGTTTACACCAATCTGCTTCATGTATCCATTTCTGGGCTTCCTCAGGGCTGACCAGTATGTGCATAAGCCCACAGAGATCTGAAAGCCTGGGGTCTGTGGCCCTGCTAATGACTCTAAATTCTTCAGGAAACTTTTGGGGATCCTTCCTGGTCTCAGGAAATTCTCTATGGCCCCTTAGTTCAGTCTTTGACCAAGAAGTTTAAGATATCTGAGGAGGATCTTCTGCAACCCGGGGTAAGCCATTCTGTTTGTTTGGTTTGGGAGCCCTGGCTTTCAAAATCTTGTCTAATGGGAACGTTCCGCATAATGGCCACTGTAGTTCTAGACTGCATTTAGTAAAACTTTGTCATTGTCGTAAATATCCACAGCTTCTGGGACCACAGTTCTTGGACAACAAGTAAGCATTTGTGCCAAACAGGTGGTGTGCTCAATTCCTGGGGCTAAGGCTTCGGGTCTTCTGGAGCCAAACTGATACCCAAGGGGCTGTGTCGTCGGGTTGGGGACTGTGTGGTGTTCTACACTGCACCTCACCACATGAAGACTTTCTGGAGGTTGGCAGGTGACCTAGTGTCAACCTAACCTGTTCTGTGACCAACTTATGGATAAAGTTGGGTGGCAAGCATTCTAACAGCTTTTAAGTGCTCAGCCCATGCCCACCAATCATGTAGGTTTGGGCTTCCAAGATTCCCATTAACAATAGCCTTTCACTACACAAAACACACTGGATCCAGGCCAGCTTACACCAAACCCAGTTTGACCCCAGTTGGGATGGGACTGGGGACAGGACTAAACCAGCAGACCCCAAACAAATGGCCAACTGTGGAGTGAACCACCAGCAACATGGAATCAGAGACTTATCCAAGGGCAAAGGATCCTGATCAGATGGGGACTGTGGACTGGACCACAAGCAGTTCTCAACATGAAATCAGGGACTGTCATCAAACATGAGATTAGAAAGCCAATTAGGTCAGGAGCTTGACACAAAAAAAGCAGAGCTCAGACCCGAGAGGAACTTACCCACGGCCCTCGGAAACGACGAGAAAGACAGAGAATGCGGTTTGTGGGTACCATGACTGTGTTTCTCGTGGCCCCCGAAGCTGTCAGAAGTGTCCTTCGGATCCCATCACTGCCACCCAATCTGTTAAAATCCAAAATTCCTCAGAATAAAATGTAAAGATCTTATTTTTATTCAACAATTCATCAATCGGGCAATATCGTGTCTGGCAAATAGAAAAATGCTCCAAAGAGCTGTACCAAATGGAAGACTTTTATGGGCAGAAAGAGACTTGAGCAGAGCTGATTGTTTCAGGCAAAGTCATCTTCCTTTGAGGGGTCGGCAGCTGAGGGAGGGTGTCCACCGGGGATTATCTCGCTAGTGCTGACCAGATAATTCCAGACTGACTGGCTTAAGATTCCACTCCTGGGAGAGGCGGAAACTGCCATCAGTTTAGGTATCAAGTCTTGGTGTGGTGACATGGGTTTAGCACAAGTGACTCAATTTGGGGCCTGTTGCCTCGTTTTAAACAATGCTCTGTAATTAAAAAATTCCTTTCCAAGGTGCTTTAGTCATTTCTGAAGAAGTCCATTGCTTATCAGTTGGTTAGCCTGCCAATGGAAACTTGTACAGTCATACGTAACTACGAAGTACTTAGAATCTAATTCATCCTTTAAGAAAAAAGGATAGGGCAGAAAATAAAGATGATAGAATTAGTCTACTGGAACTCCAATGAGAAAATGAACTGAGCCATAACAGATTTCCTCAGGCCTCATCACCACCCATTTCTTCAAAAATCAGACTCCGAATGTCCCATAATCTCTTTCAAATTTTGTTTTTGTGAAGTACAGAATCAACATTTCCTTAATGAGTATATAAACAGTTTTTGCTTCTGAATGAGGAATTTTTTTAAACTTTAGAACCTATATGACAGAATCTCTTCAGTAAATTTTTAGTCTGTGAGAGGGGACAGATAAAATGTCCTCTCATGGTTCACGGGTTTCCTTTTATGTTGACTGTATTTTTTTAATCAAGGAAGAGGTAAGTCTTTTTCATAGGTCCTACAGGCCACCTTCTCTTTTTATCATCTATTTCAAGTAGAACAATTAGAAATCTTTCATTTCTGAGCTTTTCTTAATTCCCTGGGAACGGAAACTACACTGGAGCAGGCAGTACTGGGTTGTTCAGGAGAGAGGACACAGCACAAGGAGGGATGTGAGGACACTGCCCATCGCACGTCATATAGACTGCTTGAGTCTCAACGATTAGCACATTAAATGACTCTGCTAAACAATCAGATTCTAAATGTTAAAGGCAGTTATATACCAAATAGACAGGCAATCGTGGTGGCATATTTTAAAAGCCAGATATATTTTTTAAAAGATCATGCCTACAATAAGTAAATTATGTAGTGATGGAACATCAAAAAAAGCTGATGAACAAAAGGCACAATTCAAAGAGTCCGGGAGTAGAAAGAACAGTTCTTTTGGTTTGGTTCAAAGTAGGAGAAAAGGGAAACAGGTGTATTAAAGTTGTTTTTCAGGTGAAGGTTTCTGTCAATTGAAGCAGTTAACACTGGCTTCTTTCTCCCTGGTCCAAAGCAGTCTTTTCTTTCCTCCACTTCTGAGCATGAGTTTAATCTTCTGCTGTATAGAGGTGATACATCAGAGCCACTAGCATTGCTGAGACGGCTGGGATCACCCAGTTGGTCCACCAGCTGGAAAGAAACGGCAATGATGCTTGCATGAGGTTCGGCGCACGGGACTCAAAACCTTTGCTCCTTCTACTTACCGTGAAAATCACTGTGGCATGTTTTTATTCTCTCTCTAACTTGCCTGGATGAAACGTCAACTCTGAGTTGTTAAAAGCAACATGAGCACCACACATGCCCTAGTATACCAGCAAGTGCTCTAGCTTTGGAAGAAAATTAATGACCTCCATCCCCATTCCACTTAAATCTATTTCTCTTAACTTACACAAAGAGCTATGAATCACTCCCCCAACAGATGCTACCTACAACTAGCGACTTATTTAAGGACATCAACTCTGGGTTACGTATCACAAGTTCACAAAAGCAAATATTCCTTACAGGTTTTATTCTACTTACATACATTAAGAATTTAAAATAGCACTAAACTGAGAACAAGAAAATCAAGGTGCTCATTTTGGGAGAGCCAACCACAAGCTCTATACCCACGAGAAAAGCACATCTCCTGGACTGTGAAGTTAAGGAGTTTGAGCCACGGGATTATTAAGGTTGCTGCGAGCACCACAGCTCTATGTTCCGTGATTCTGTTTGGAAAATCTAACCTTCACCCATGCACAAATTTAACACATTAAGAAACAGCATGCCCAAACTACTTAATCTGTGGTCCATAGGTGTAAACTCAGAAAAATCCCTAACTTACACACTGTTTTAGTCCTGGTGCATAGAATTTTTGATCAACTAAAAATGACAGATTACAGATCAAACCAGGGACAAAGCTAGAATGATCTTCAATTTAGATATGAACCTATAGTTTCCTAGAAAGCAGAATGTGAATTAAGCCAGATAACTCCTATAAAGACATATATTTTGTCATAAACTTTCTATCCTTTAATACTCTTCACACATCAACCCATACAAAGATTGTGTTCAATACAAAGATTTAAACTGCAAAAAAGATTACAAATGTAACTTTCATCTTGGTGGGGTTTTTAGTTTTCATTTAGAAGGAAACTTAACCTGTCAATAAAACGTACAGTGAAGGACTACTGCCTGAAGGCAGGGAATGTACCAGAACACTGACAGACTGGGGCAGTTCCATTTGACAGGGTGAAATAAAATAGGCATAAATGTGTGGTTTTGAGCTTGGGGCCAATTATCTCTGTCTACCAGAGAGATATAGGCCAATTATGCAAGTCAATATGGTAGAGCTGCCACAAATGTTAATAGGATCTTGGACTGTGACAAAGAAATCCAGTCCCTAGAACAAGTGATTCATGCTACACTTGAAGGAACACTGAGCTTAGGGAGATGTAAACACTTAGATATAAACATTTAGGGAGATATAATCACTACAATGTAAGAAACAGACCATATATTGAATAAGAAAGGTTGTTTGCCTTGGCAGGAAGACTGTGTAGGCCACAAGACTACCCTGGAGAAAAAGAGACCCAACTTGTTCTGTCCATACTATAGAGTAAATGCAGCTGGAGGACGAGATTTGGGGTTGTTCTAAAGAGTGTCCAGAGTCTGAGCTGTCTGACAATTGAGGAGGGGATGTCCTGAGTCATCTGGGCACCAAGTGGAGATGACCCTGGGCTGTCCACTGAGAGGGGGCACAGTGGGAGCCTGAGCCCTCAGGTGGGGGAGGAGCCCTAAGCCCACCCAGACTCCACTGGCCTTCTGACCAGTTACCTTAAGAGAAAATTACGACATACCTGGAATTAGAATCAACAGTAGTAATGAGAGTTTCCTGAAACAAGAGAAAAAGTGAACTTTAAGGGAACATCTGAACATTTATTCAATTGACTAAGAACTTCTTTTAAAATAAGATCATAATTTTCAGTATATTCTTCAAAACACATTGAAAGGGAAAACTGTATCATAAACTTTTACTAAAATGCCTATTTTCACCATTTTTTAGAAGAAAAAATTTTAAGAATCATCTGTATTTAAATTACTTAGACATAACCTAGACAATTTGAAAAAAAAAATTAAAAATAGGCTACATAAAATATCCTCTACACAGTACACATCTGAATAATGTAGAAACTGAAAACTGATTATCATATACACGGACACATAACCCCACCACTACCTTTAGGAAGAAAAGCTTAATTCTTTAAAAGCATGAATGAAAACTTCAATAAAATCAGTTATTTCATTCAAATTTTATGTGAAGTAAAAGTGTACCCAAATTGTATTAAAAGACATGTCAACCAAAAAGAGAAAAATAAAAATTGTCATTTAAATTATCACACTCTGGACCACTACCTCTCCTGGCCTTCTCTAACTCTGACAAGACAGCTCTAAAAAGTGGAGGCCTCAGGAACTGACCTCACAGGGTCACCAGCCAAGAAACCTCCAAATAGGGACGCCCTGTGTGTGTGCTGGGGTCTTTCACAGTTGGCCTATTTTGCCTTCCAGAACTTTCTACGAGAACTTCTGTCAGTACCATGAAAGTGAACTAATTTTGGCTCTTGAAAAATACATACTTCCCCAAACAGATGAATAACTAAGGCCTAAGGAAAAATAAACTTTCCTGGCTTGAAAACTAAGAAGCATTCTTTAGAAATTTCACACCAGCGAAAGTATTAGTGCCTCAAAGGAAGGTAGCCATAAGTAAGGCAGCTTCATCTGAGAGTTCATCTCTGCAGTTTCCCAAAGCACAAGATAAGCCATTAGCAAAACATCCACACTCTGCAGTGAGGCAAAAAGCTGCACAGAGCGAGGCAGCGCATTCATTAGAGAAACCCCAGGAGAAGGCAGAAAACTGTTAGGGAAGAGCAAGCAAATCAGTTAGGAGACCCACAAACCTGGAAACATGGCCTTTAAGATTCCTGACACAGTAGGGGGGAAAAAAATAAGTCATTTAAAAAGAAAACTTCACACAGTTATTATCTTTTTAAGCAATGTTAAATCTTAGCAACTACAAAAAGTATTCATAACTACTGCAAGATTATTTTTCAAATTTTGCGTATATGAATAAAATTAACAAGGATTACCAGAAGTCACTGGACTGTGCAAAAGGATTATTCCACTATTAGATGACATAATAAATTCTGAAACTGGAGCACAACAGTTCATTGAAAGTAAAATATTATTGTCACAATAAGAAAGTTAAGCCCAGAAGAGTAAACAGAACTCAGACACAGATCTGTTATTTTGTTATACCAAGCACGTGCATTTTACCAAACATGCTGACAACTCTAAGGAAACTAGGCTAGCCTACCTCCTCGTTCATCACTGCCCTGAGCGTTAATGCTAAAACTTTTAGGGTACCTCACCGCCAGCAACAACAACGATCTTCTAAAGAGCTGTACTTTAAAAGATTATATACATTTCTGAGTGTTTCTTATCTGTTAGGCTCTTAATCCAGAGATGCCTGAGAGCTAAAGCAAGTTTGAATTACCATTTACCACACTGATGAAAAAGAAAACTGAAACTGTCTTGCCCGTCCAATGGTCTGAGGGGCCTAAGTTGGGCTTCTGTGTGTAACTAACAAATATGTCAACAACTAACAGGCAGAAAAGACTATGGTTTTTATTACAGGCTCTGCCACCTGTTCACTCCATGACCCTGAGGGGTTCAATTTCACATAGGAAAGATTAATAATTCCATCAGTACATGAGAAGCTATATAAAAATCATGCAAAGTACATCAAGTTTTTGCAAATCAAAATCATCTCATTTATACATTTAATCTACTTTAGCCTATTCCTTAATTGGAATGCTTTCCTAAAAATATCAGGGACACTGATATTTTTGCCTTTGGAGTACAGAGCCTACAGAAGAAGCTTAAGAGACTGCACCCACCAAACCTGAGATGGGTGCCAGCCATGGTTCTGCAGTGTGACCTTGAACAAGGTCAAAGCTTGCAGCAAGGTCTGAGCTTCACTGTTTTTACCTTCCTGGAAGGTCTATGGATCCCACAGGGATATCATGAGACTCAAACAAAGTCACTTAAACAGCAATAATTTGAAAACCACAACCAAGAAAAGGTATTGATACTACTGATATCCTCCATGTAAGCAAATTTAATAGATACAAATTTGTTTAAAAATGCATCATTTCTAGGTCTACAAATATCTTATCTTGGCAACTAAACACCATGTTTTCCTTTGGGCAGGGTCAAGCTAATAATCTTTGTTGCATCTTATTTCACAATTCAACTAGGTATTTTCAGTGGCAACATTGAAAAAAATCAGACCACAGCTTACATTTATCAGCCTGGAGATAGACAGATGGTTATACAGAGACCCACACACCAAAAGAAATACCCAAGGACACTCTCTTCTGGCAAACTAGAAGCATAAGAAAGATAAATCCAAAAGAGTAGTCGTGTATTTTTTTCATTGTATTTGCTTATGTCCTCTAAGAAAGACAGCAAGTTCTTACCCTACTTCGGCTGATCTAATCAAAGTCATATATGTTCTAAAAGAGGAGAGAGTCTGTCTTTGGGAAATACAGCAGTATGGCAGGAGACCTGCTTACCAATTCAGCCCTAGTTTCTGTTTGTAGGCATCGTCGTTTGAGATATGACTGGACCTACATTAAATCTAACTTAATGCAATGAGCCTTATCAAATCCTTTATTATAGCTGAATGATTTATACCAAGATTATTAACCTCCTGAAAACCTAACAGGAAAAAAGTATATACTTTTTCCCTGACCTGATTATGGAGAAAAAGCAAAGACTACATGCATCACAGGATTTCAGTTACCCAAAAAGTAGCCTCAAAAAAGGTGCTAATGTCGTATGACCCAACAGCAAGAACTCAGCAGCTGTTGTAGAGGCAATTCAAATTCTGAAGTCCATTTTTTGTCTTCCCAAAGTACTCAGATCACCAACACTGAACTTTCTGAATAGGGAAAGGAGAGACTGTAAATGAGATTGCTTTGTAAGAAATACCATTAATCAAGACTTATATTATACCATCTGGGGTATGAAGGTAAACATGGCCTTTATGCTCTATTGGATTTACTGCTTTGATTTTGCTATAGATTAAAGAGAATGTCTTGTCAACAGCAGCTAGCAAATGAGTTCACCAGTTCTTTCATACAAGCCCTGAGGAGTCTCACTGTTGGGCTCTAATAAAAGCAAGAACAGAAACCAAAATGGAAAAATTATTCTCTCTTTCTGTGGTTTAAGCAAAATGTTCTTCCATGGTCCTTTAATTACAGGCCGACAACTATTCTGTCTGCTTGTACTCGTCAGGGACTCTGGTTGTTGTCATCAATTCTTACTATGGATTTTTCAAATGTAAGTGAGAAGACCAGCTCAGCGAGAAGGGCTAGTGAACCAGGGCATAAAATTAATATCCCCTAGAATATATTTTCCTTTCCTAAGGAAAAATGCATCAAAAAGTTATTATTTAATTTTATTAACATTAAATTCAACCAACAAATACTTATTTAACACCTATGTCCCAGGGACACGGAGGTAAAGACATGGGTAGTGTCCTCCAAGGTTCAAGTATTAAGACCTCTGCTCAGATTTTAAGTTCTCTGAAAATAAGGCTCGTGTCAAATCTTTCAGATCAGAAGCACAGTGCTACTTATACAAGTAGCACTTCAAGAGGTATCTACTGATAATTACGGTGAAAAAATGATGTATGGAGAGTATTACAGAGAGAACACACAAGCTGTCCTAATGAAACACAATGGCTGGTCTATACACAATGTATTTTGCTGAGCCAACAGGTTACATATTCATCTAACCTATGCTGGCCTGGCCTCATTCAAATAGCTGAAAGACTTCTGTCCTCCAGTTTGACAGGTATGAAATACAGTGAAGATAGGCACGGCCACTGAGACACTGGGGATGACACACTTACCGAAGGCTTGGTTAACTTTGCTCTATCATCCTGCAATTAAAAAAAAAAGGCACATTACAGAATGAAAGAACATTTACAAAAGTACCATGTCCAAAGCAGTCACTTTTACTGAGATTTTTTAGAAAACATTACTATTCAGTAACTAGCACTTTAGGTTCATCTATCTAGGTTGTTAATTACAAAGTTTGATCCATCTGACTTGACTACAAAAATTAATAGCTGATTAAATGATTAATTTTCAATCTAGAGTTCCAAAGTTTAGAACATCATCCATGATAATCATATTTATATGTTCATGTGCATATACATTTATTAGACTTGGATTTTAATCTTCAATTCAGGGAGCAGCTGAGACCTAAGTAGATTATTCCCCTGCTATCCTGTGAAATGAGTGTATGTATGTTTGTATACCTGTGTGTGTGTGTGTAATTTTGCGTCATATCCTCAGTGAATTCCTGCAATCTCCCAACTACAGGGTTGCAATTTTCTTAAACCTCTGCTTGAGGTAGTCCAAATTAAGGGTCACCTAAAGGTGACCACAGGGAATCCCAGTAAGCAGATAAGGCAGAAATGCTGTAGTCGCAGTCTGAAAACCCACCTCTTCTACACCTACAAGTTTGGAAAGGAAAGAATAAGGACAGAATCAAACATTTTAAGGAAAAGCCTCTCTGGTTACCATAAAGCTACCTCATTTTGGTGAAGTATGAAGATCAAGATGAAAACATGTGGGTGAATAAACTCTCCAGGTAAGTGAAGCTCATTCTTTCAGAGTACCCCCTCCTACCACCAAATAAACAAACAAACAAAAAAACCCTACCTCCCTAATTCAATGGAAATTGCTCTAAAACAGATTTCCTATTTTTAGGCCTTCCATAAAGAGCCTTTAAGCTTTCCTTCATTCATGGTCATTGCAAGAAATATCAATCAACTTTTTTTTTTTGGCAATGTTAAATTTCTTAGCTTGGTAATTGGTACACAGGAGCTTATTTGATCAATATTTTATGTGATGCACCTATTGATTTGTATTTACCAAATGTTTTATAATAAATGACAACATTAAAATTATTGGCAAGTATATTTGGCAATTATATGTGATTTTTATTACAATCATAATGACAGAACTTTTCATATGGATTTTTGTTTTTCAGTGGTTTCTCAGAGTGCGTACTTGGGCTGAGGCCACATGCCTACATTAGCCCGCTTCTAATAGCGCCCCCACCCCCTCTGGCTGGCTCCCCGTGAAGCAGCACGAGCTGGGAAACAGGAGACCCTGTGGCCCAGCTGAGAAGCCCAGGTGCTCTCTAGAGGTAAGAACAGCCAAATGCATCGTGTAGGAGGCTGCATCTGTTTGGAGAACTCCGCCACCTCTTCCCAAGTATTCAGCTACCTTCCAGATAACTTTGGTTGACAGATTAGCAAAGTTTCATATAGTCATTCAAAACTGCCACAGAAGGGCCTAAATTCATACTACAGCCCCGGGTTTATATAAAAGCTAAATTAGGGAGCATAAAGTCAGTCCAGGGATTTGCATCGACCGTGACGTTTTCAAAGATCTGGAGTCAAGTAAGAAGAGTGAGGAGAATGTGTAAGTTTTACAGAAGACAGGGTTTATTCATTTAACAGAGGTGGTTTAAAAATTTTTTAATCATTTTTTTAGAATTGAAATATCCTCAAACTATGAGAGTAGAAGGGAGTTTCTTAAGAAATATTTCTTAAAATATTTTAGTCAAGGAAAAAAGAAAAAAAAGAAACCATGCTGGGTCAATGACCCCCACCTTCTAAAATATGTTGCTCCGTGACACTTCATAGTCTGAGAGGCACTGTCCCCCAGCCCTGGCCTTGGGTTAGAGGGTCCTGACTCTAAGTGCCAGTGAAAACTTCAACCAGGGAAATGCAAAGAAATTTCTGATCGATTTGTTTATGACAAGAATGGTGTTATATAATCAGGAGGAGTTGTTTTTGCTTTACTTCTTCAATTTCATAATATGCAAGTCTACAATTTTGAGCAAGGTCAACCCACAGCCTTAAAGAGGAGTAAAGGCCCCCAGTAAGGTACTTACCGGATGAAGTTCCCCAATGATGTACGTTTTGGACAATTCTCTAGCATCTGTAGAGTGTCCCACATCCTCAAAACTTTCAGTAGCATCCCCTCCAGCTTGTTCCCTTAACACTTCTTCCCCACCAGGATGCTGTTTGAAGGACAGATACAAAAAACAAAATTTTTTTCCCAGGTAAATGAGTCAAAAGGAAGTGGCCAGTTTCATTAACCAAATAGGCTACTCTAGAAGTGGTAGATGACAATGTGTGAGTACAACTCATCCATATGTGGATGAAAACAGCATACTCTTCTGTATTTAATTTCCTTCTTGAAAGTTCATTAGAATCTTTCTCCAATAGTCAAGATGTTCATTTCCCCAGATCACTCCTATGGCTGTAAAGCATTAGACACATATTTTTAATCCGCTGGGAATGTCCTCTTTGCTTTTCCATAAAGCTCTCAAAATTGTTCTTCTTGACCTTTACCCAATCTATTTTTTCTTGAGTCCTATACCCTGACCTTTGACTTCTTTGATCTAGGTGTGGACTTACGCTACTACACCTTAGATGGTAATTGTGTGATAATTCATCTTTGAAAAGCACCCTGTCTGCCTGCCAAGTACAGGAAGTGTATAGCCTGTTGGACAGGCAAGCATATCCCCTGCCTGTAGCAGAACTCTCTTTCTAGTAGGAAGAAAAAAGTAAGCAAGCAGGTGCAGCAGTAACTTGCCCAAGCTGCTGCTGTATGGACAGATTATTGATGGGGGACAAGGAAGGCAAAGAAGAAAGAGCACCACTCCACTGGGGGTTGGGGTTAAGGCCTTGGGCAACAGAAGTATTTCAGTGCTCTTAGCTGCTCCTTAGCTGCTTCCATTAGTAAAACAACAGATGGTCAAAAGGCAGGGAGGGGCTGACAAGGGGGCCCAGGCACAGACACAGATGAAGTCCAGAGATCCTCAGGCAAGGAACGGAGTTCTCAGTCAAGTAAAAAGAGAGTAAGTGCTTGGTTATATCACCCTGAATACTTTTATGGGTGAGAAAAACCTTCTTAAATTGAGCCTATTTCCTTAGATCAAATTTACCCTGCCCTTGAGCAAATCACCTGTAAGCACGTGTCCAATGACTAAACAAAACAACTCTCCTCTGCATAACTGAGAGCACTCTGTTCTTAATTTCTCCCAGTGACGGAAAATATAAAGGTACATAACAGAGAACGGTGGACAATTACTGTTTTGAAATCCATTTCTCCTCCTACTTTGTTTAAATATATCTACTGCTACAGAAATCTACTTGGTTTTTTTCTCTACTATTGTAAACGTTATCCATCTACATTATAGTAAAACTGGAAAACACAAAGAAGAAAATAAAAATCACCAAAATTAGCTATGGTCTTGCCATCTCAATAGGGCTGGATATACACACATGTACATGTGTAAATAATTTTTGAAAGAAAACGGAGATCATTGCCTTATGCATACGGTTTTGTTAGATTAAAAGCAGATCATAATACATGATACAGAGACAGTATTGCCTAGTGGTTACTTACTACTCCTATGTGAACTTAGAAAAATAATTGTAGGGCGCCTGGGTGGCTCAGTTGGTTAAGCGACTGCCTTCGGCTCAGGTCATGATTCTGGAGTCCCGGGATCGAGTCCCGCATCGGGCTCCCTGCTTCTCCCTCTGACCCTCCCCCCTCTCATGTGCTCTCTCTCTCTCATTCTCTCTGTCTCAAATAAATAAATAAAATATTAAAAAAAAAAAAAAAAAAAGAAAAATAATTGTATTTATCTCATATAATTTTTTAAGATTAAATGTGTTAATATAGGTGTCTGACACATAACATATGACCAATAAACATTATCTAGCATTTTCATTAAATATTTTCCAATGTCATAAAGCATCTTTCCTCAACATGACTTTTTAAACAGCTACCTAATGCTGCATGCTGCAGGAATTTCCCAACTTATTTAAATGTCTTCTATTGAGGGCACAGAATATCAGAAGTCCACTTTAAACAAACATGAGAAGCCACACCAGGGGGATGGCTCACTCTGAAAGCCAATCTGAAGCTTCCTGATGCACTTCCAAGGCTGTGGCAATGGAAACCATGATTTGTTGATTCTGGAACAGTCTTATTTACTGTTGGGCATGGACTGAGGAGTACAGAAGCAAAACACAAGAGATATAAAATCACAACTTACTCAGCACCCACAAATTATATAAGTACACAGACTGTTTTCCTTCCATGTGGATGGCTGAACTCATGAGTTCCTTAACTTTTGGTTCCTATTAAGGATATGTGAATATAGACAAATCTCTCAGAGCAAATCATTAGTTTCCAGTTACAGCTTATCTTCAAAGGAAATTTTCAAACAAGGTTAAAAACATAGATTAGCATTTCCTAAAGCATCATAAAACTAAGTTTTTAAAATAGAGAATTTTGATTTTTAAAATGCTAAAATGCAGAAGGTAAACATTCAGCTTCATAGAGAATAACACAACAGCCTTAACCTGAAAGAAAAGGGCAACTTCTCAACTTAATTTCTGACCAAGCAAGGAAAACAAGAGAGCATGTCTCTACGTGTACATATGTGTCTATCTAGCTATGATTTAGACTTTGCCTAAACCATCTCTGTGAGACAGTTGTTTTCAGGGGAAAAAAAGAAAGACATCTTGGGTTCCACTGGTTCCACTGACCACTATTTAAGAAAAATGAATGAACTGACACTAAAATACATTTGCCCCACTCCAGGGATTTTTTTAAACAGTAAAAACAAAAACAAAAAACAAACAAAAGCAAAACAAAACAAAAAAACACACCAAAAGAACAAAGTTTTTTTCTTTCTCCCAGAATAAAATAACTCAAATCTTGATAAGACAGCAAAAGATATGGGACTGGCTTATTGTAATATCGGATATTTTCCTTGAAATATATTTATGATGTGGGGAGACACAGAGACACACACTTTGTGAAGTAAATGAAGTCTAATGATGGTTTGAAACTTGGTGATTCACCTTGTCACTCTCTTCACTCTTGTGAGCAGATTCATGCTGTAGTCTTAATATGCACACATCTCATTATCAGCCTGAAGGAAACTTTCTTCCTTACCTGTCAGCACTCTTAAGAGACGGGGACAGTGGTGTTGATGCCATCTTGGTTACTCCCAGAGATGGTGTATGTCTACGGTTTATGCCCAGAAGCTCTGAGAAAACTTACTATCTGTTGGGCAGCTTCTAGAATTTGAGAGGGACTCAAAGAAAAGACAATGCTTCAAAGAGGAAAGCAGTAGAATAACAGGTGATGAAAATCATCTGGAGATTTTCTGAAAGATTTAAGGAAAAGACCAAAGTGCCTAGTCACACGCAGGCAAGATCAGAGGTAACAAAAGAGGTGAGACTCTCTTAAAGAGTCAAGAGTCCTGAGCCAAGCCCTGAATTCTGTCCTCAGAAAGCAGCACTCACGAGGGCCCCCACTCATCCCACCATGCGGTGGCAGTCAGCAGCTGTGGAGCCCAAAGAAAAAGAGATGGGACAGAATATCAGGGGTGACAGTAAGGAGTACCCAGGAAGGACAGAACTGGGTGCGGTTGTGGGAAAACTAGCCATTTCCACTAGAGCTGTCCTAACATAAAGTCTCCCATTTTTCCAGAGGAAGATTCATTTCCCATTTGTGTTATTATATCCTAAAGTCAACGGACTCAACAAACACATGCCAAGTGTCTCCATGTGCCAGACACCAAGGTGTGCCAGACATATGGAGCAGAGAAGCTCTCAGCTCCTGCCCTGGGGGATTTATAAACTAATAGGGATCCCACTGGAATAATCTGTAACCGTACAACTAACTGCCGGTAAAAACCAATGTTCTGAGACAAAAGAGCACAGTGCCGAGAAGGCTGCAACATGAAGGACTCAGGAGTAGCTCCGCTGAGCTGAGATACGAAGCAGGAAGGAGTCAGGGTCAAGAAGGGGCAGAGACAGAGGAGATGAATGTCCCATGGGGCAGGGAGAGGCTGGGCAGGGGAGGGAGAAAGGGCAAGCCGCAGAGGGCAGGGCAGGCCACACAGAGCTCTAGGCCCTTTTAGGGATTCTGATCTTTCTCCAGCAAGCGATGAGAAGTCATTGAGAGATCTAAGAAGGGAAGGTAACAAAAGCAGATTTAGTTTTAAAAACATAATCTGGTCTTCAGAGTGAACAACAGGTATAAGGGCAGGAAAGGATCCAGGAAGACAATTCGCTAAGGCCATTACAATAATCCAGGCAAGAAAAAGCCTAAGGCAGGCTGGTAGCAGCCATGGAAATAAAGAGGCAGGGAAGGACAAAAGGCAAGAGAGGAAGGACTTCTTGATAGGTTGAAGAGGGTGGATGAGAGACAAGATGCAACACGAGGATGCAGGTTTGGGGCTTGCCTGATTGAATGGATGATGGTGCCAACTGCTGGGAATGGGAATCCCAGAAGCAGACCAAGTTCGGCAGGTAGACTGGTTCCAGCAGGGCCTCCCCACACTCACTGTGTCCACATACCTGGTGATCCAATAATTCCCTCTGTCTGCCTCTGCAATATCTCCATTCCACAAGTTACCCAAACACACCTTGCTCTGACAGCATATGAGAAACCCCAGGTACAAACCAGGGAATACCAATAAAATAACTGGCAATAGCTTTTACTCTTGACATCCATAGTTAAGGGTAATCTACAGGAAAATGTATTTGAAAAGATAAAAGATTAGCACAGTCCATAATTCGGAAGACATTAACTGCCACAGCCCCACTCCACTCTTAAGGACACTTTCAGGAAGACATGGTGAACTTCTATGGTATGGACAGTAACTCTGGCTACCAGGGCCCGAAATTACATCTGACTTTCTACTTTTCGCAGCATAAAAGCCCTCAGAACCTTGGCACAGTGGATCTCTTCTTAAAATGCTGGCTTCTCATGGCTGCTGGGACAGCAGACCCTCCTGGTTTCCCTTCAACCTCACTGGCCACTACTTTCTAATCTGTTCATCTCCAAGTCTCAACACGGGAGCACCCCGGGGCTCGGTCCCTGGCATTCTCCCATCCTCTACCTACACTAACTCTCCCAGTGGTTTTACCTGGCCTCCAACCCAGAAAATCACTGTTCCCTAGTGAGTGCAGTTGAGTAATACCTGGCTTCCCCTGAGCTCGAGTCCTCCTACCTGTAGTAGCCTACCTTCCGTGTTTACTCAACATCTATTCCATGTTCCAAACACAACATAACATAACCAAAACCAAATGTTTTACTTTCCCTCAAAATGCACTGTTTTCCAAGGGTGCCTGGGTGGCGTAGTCAGTTGAGCGTCTGACTCTTTATTTCAGCTCAGGTCAGGATCTCAGGGTCCTGAGATCCAGCCCCATGTTGGGCCCTGCGCTCAGCGAGAGTATGCTTGAGGTTCTCTCTCCTCTCCCTCTGCCCCTCCTGCTCATGCTCTTTCTCTAAAATAAAGAAATAAATCTTAAAAAAAAAACAAAAAAAAATGCACTGCTTTCTGGAATTTCCATTCTCAGGAAACAGTGCCACCATGTACCCAGTTGCTATGGTCCAAAACCAGAAGTCAAACTTTATTCCTCTCTCCTCGGCTCCAACCCACCAGCAAATCCAGGTGGCTATCTTCAAAACATACTCAGGATCCAACCACCTCTCCCCACTTCCGACACTGCCACCCTAGACCAAGCTACCAACACCATACATAAACGACCACAATGGTCTCCTAACTGGTCTGCTTCCTCTTGCCCCTTGTACAATCAGCTCCCTCACATCATCACACTATGAGGACTTTAAGAAGATGATTAAGGCAATCTAGGGAAGGGCTAATGCTAGCCTAGCCCAGGGTGGTTGGTCATAGTGGACTTGAGGAGAAGTAAAAGGGAAGTAGAAAAGGAAAACAGACATGCCTGCAGATTCTGCCCACACCTGCAAATATCCAAAGTCTTTCCAGCTTTCTGGGAGGGCAAAGTGAAACCTCCGTTGCTCAGTTCTAGCCAGTCTTGGGGCAGGTCCTCAATCCTGCCAAACTTGTTCTCCATGTCAGATCCCTCCCATCTGCCTCTGCTTGGAATGTTCCTCTCCCAAACTTTATGTGATTCCATCTACCCTTCATTCATATTCAAGTTGGCCTTTCAGAGCCCTTCGAGGATTTCCCCATCTAAAGAGCCCACCCCACACCATGTTCTCTACCCACTTCCTGTTTTGTTTGCCTTCATAGCACTCATTACTACCTATATTTATATCAATTTGTTTATAAGATTCATGAGGACAGACTTTTGTTTGTCCTACTCATCACTACTGCCCCAATATCTAGTTCAATGCCTGGCACATGGCAGATATGAAGAAATATTTATAAGTAATTGTTGGCTAAATAAAGGAGACAGGCACAGGTCATTGCACACTGGCTTTGGAACCATTACATCTAACCAGTTATGTGGCTGATGACAACTTTCTCATTTCAACTATTCTAGCCCATACCACTCTCCTTTCCCTGAACTGTGAGAGTTCTTACCATTCAGAAACCATATAATTTTACGTTTAACTGCTAATTTATTTAATCAAAATATTTACTGTCTACTCTGAGCAACACATTGTGTGGGACACACAGAAGTTCATGAAAAAATCAGCGTGGCTCAAACCTGAAGAATCATGCACTTAAGCTGAGGTTAAAGAAATAACAGAAAAAACCCTTGGCCTTCACTAATACAGCCTCACAGTTCTGACTAACCATGAATCACCCACTAGGTCCTAACCATGTAGTAACATGCAACACTGCTAAACATGGAACTGAATCACTCTCCCTGAGAGTCAGGAGCAAATGAGGCACTTAGCTGCTGCCCAGCATCCATAGCACAGTGCAGTCAATGATTCTCAACTCATTTTCAATGCTGTGACATGTGTGATAAAAGCTTTCTTTGTGACAAATGGCTCTGAAAAAAAGTCACCTGTTAATAATGGTGATGGAAGTGAAGAGAAAATCAAGAAGTATAATAAAGCAATGGTTTTGTTGCCAGACATCAGCAATGGGGTTTGGAGTAAGATGTGAATTCAGAAATGGCTTCAAACTGTCATACAAATGGTTCCACCAAATACAGTCTCTCCACGGAACCAAGGGGCTCACAAAGCTGCTTTAGTGAGTGTTCTAGACCAGTACTGCCCAACAGAACTTTCTGCAATGATGGACATATTCTGTATCTAAACTGCCCAAGATAATAGCCGCTACTCACAAACAGCTACTGAACACTTGAAATGGGGGTGAGAAATTGAATGTACAGTTTAATTCATTTAAATGTAAATCAGCCATGTACGCTCATTAGCTGGATACTGTAGCTGTAGACAACACAAAACTTGTTAAGATTTTTTATTTTTTTATTTATTTGACAGAGAGACAGTGAGAGAGGGAACACAAGCAGGGGGAGTGGGAGAGGGAGAAGCAGGCTTCCCGCGGAGCAGGGAGCCCGATGCGGGGCTCGATCGCAGAACCCAGGGATCATGACCTGAGCCGAAGGCAGACGCTTAAGGACTGAGCCACCCAGGCGCCCCTACACAAACCTTTTGCCTTCTCTATAGAAATTAATTCCAGGGGCGCCTGGGTGGCTCAGTCGTTAAGCGTCTGCCTTCGGCTCAGGTCATGATCCCAGGGTCCTGGGATCGAGCCCCACATTGGGCTCCTGACTCAGCAGGGAGCCTGCTTCTCCCTCTCCTTCTGCCTCTCCCCCTGCTCATGCTCTCTCTTTCTCTCTGACTCAAATGAATAAATTTTAAAAAAATAAAATAAAGGGGCGCTTGGGTGGCTCAGTTGTTAAGCGTCTGCCTTCAGCTCAGGTCATGATCCCAGGGTCCTGGGATTGAGCCCCGCATCGGGCTCCCTGCTCTGCGGGGAGCCTGCTTCTCCCTCTCCCACTCCGCCTGCTTGTGTTCCCTCTCTCGCTGTGTCTCTGTCAAATAAATAAAATCTTAAAAAAAAAAAAAACCTTCTGCAAGACATATAGACAACCTAGGTGAAAACTGAAAAATCATTTCATTTGCAATGAAAGATACGTATACTTACTACATGTGTGAGACCACACAACACAGCAACCCCACCGCCTTGGTAGTGCACTGCATCTCAAGGTGAGGAGGCTCACAGATAAGGGCCAATGGCTAGAACAAGGGATCAGCACAAACCAAACTGCCTTGGGAAAAAAAGCTTTTGTCAACTAACTCATCCAACTCAGGGAGAGGCCAGGATAAAAGCTGATGATTGCCGAAGGCCAAATGACTCTTCTCTGTGGTTATGGCAGATTGTAGGATCAAGCCTGACTTGTTTTACCAACCCTAGGGCATCACAGGGTATGGCTGTTGAAGTCCTTGCCTATATAAGGACAATGCAATAAAGACTGGCACGACACAGAGCAGTTTACTTATAATAATTTAACAAATTATTAGCTTATGACTTTAGTCCTTTTACAATCACTACAGGTCTGAAGTGGTCTCTTAGGCTCTTCAATTATACTCTACTTAACATGAGAAATACAGTTGTACTTATGAATTTGAGGGTTTATCAAAGTCAAGGGACTCACAAATACATACAAAAATGAGAGGAATACCAATAAGGCAAAAAATAAAAAGTGTTAAATGAATATCAAAACGCAAGGAAAGAATAAGTCATTCCAGACAGCGGACAGGCAACAGTGGAACCCTTCTAATGCCGAATGAACGACTGACAGGGAAGGTGAGATTACCCCTACCTCATTAATGGCACTCACTGAGTCTGTATGGTACTCAGTGATCTAATAGGTATAGTACCTGTTTTCTAAAAAATGTAAGAGCTCAAAAAGAAAGAAAATATTACAAACTTGATCAATATTTCTTTCCTGGGCACCAAATATCCATAATGAATTAACCAGTATTTACAGTTGTTTGGACAATACTGAAATAGAAACAAGCTCAGATTTTCATTTCATCTTAAATTAGTAGTGCCATGCTCGAATAATGAGGTAAACACTGATGAGTTACGTGCTGTGAAAAATCCACACACTTCAGGGCACCTGGCTGGCTCAGTCCGCAGAGCATATGACTCTTGATCTCGAGGTCATGAGTTTGAGCCCCATGCCGGGGGTAGAGTTTACTTTAAAAAAAAGAAGAGGAAGAAGAAGAAAGAGAAAGAAAAAGAAAAAGAAAAATCCCCACACTTAAAACCAATGACCATATTGTCACTTTTCACCTACAGAGCCAGCCTAGGCATGATCCCACCCACCCCTCTTTCCAAATATACTCTACTGGTAAGAATTTCCTTTAATCTGAGAAACAGTCAGTGGAGGTAGAGCTCAAACACGCTTGGGATTGCTTTGTTCAGGAGGGATACCACTGGTAATCAGGGTTAACCCAACACTCTCAGCCTCCACTCAGAAACCCTATGATAGGGGCGCCTGGGTGGCTCAGTCGGTTAAGCGACTGCCTTCAGCTCAGGTCATGATCCTGGAGTCCCTGGATCGAGTCCCTGGATCGAGTCCCTGGATCGAGTCCCGCATCGGGCTCCCTGCTCGGCAGGGAGTCTGCCTCTCCCTCTGACCCTCCCGACCCTCCCCCCTCTCATGTGCTCTCTCTCTCAGTCTCTCTCTCTCTCAAATAAATAAATAAAATCTTAAAAAAAAAAAAAGAAACCCTATGATAAGCTTCATTTATAACCAAAGTTCAAATAATCTCACTGAGAAGACATGTGGTCTGTTTAACACTAAGGAGCTCAATGGTTTATACCTCAGGTCATTACAAAAGAGACCGTGACCCAAACCTGATGGCAAGACTCCCGTGTTCTGCTGACGTCACAGCAGCACAAGTGCTGAAGGCCAGTCCTAGGAGAGCGTCTTCTTCCACCTCATCCCCTAACCCCTGGACATTCTCTGCTTCAGTAATAACCAGTAGCAAGAGATACCACACAGAACATGCAACTCTTTTCAAATGAAAATAAGTCCAATTTCCCATACACAGAAAAAAAAAGGAGTATCAGAGTGAACTACAAGGTGCTTTTCCAGAGCCCAACAGTCAAACATATCAGGGGACCAGGTACAGAATACATACAGTCAGTGAAGACAAAGTCTTAGATTATTTTTTTGTGTTAAGAGACCAAGAATAAGAACATCAACATAATGAAAGCGAGACCTCAAGTCCTTTTTAGAATGAGGCCAAAGGGAAATGCTAAGTAAAGGAATAAATGCATAATTAGAGGATTTTTTAAACTGCAATAAAATTATATTTCATATTTAGTAGTACACTAAATAACAATAAGTAATGCTAATAATACAGTAAAAAGTAGATCTATAAAAACTGGCAAGATAAAAAAAAGATAAACTTAGATGCCTCTCCTGATACAGATGTTTTCAGTAAGTAATAAATTCTTATTAGGAAGGCAATAATTTTTTTTATTTTAGAGGAAATTTCCTTTTTATTTTTTTTCCTCAAGAGTACTTTTTTAAAATTTGAATTTCCACTTTTATCACATGCAATAGAAACATTTTTAGAAATAGCTTAATATTTTTCAAATGACTCTATTTTTAGTCATCCTTTTGTTGTTAAAACCATGAAGCTACAGAGATCTGTTATATCCTTACTATGCCATAATGTGATTTGTGAATTTTTTTTTTAGTTTTTATTTAAATTCTAGTTAGTTAGCACACAGTGTAATATTATTTTCAGGAGTATAATACAGTGATTCAACACTTCCACATAACACTGGTTCTCATCACAACAAGTGCCCTCCTTAGTCCCTACCACCTATTTAACCCATACCCATGCCCCTGCCCACCTCCCCTAGGAAGACAATAATCTTAATGAGAAAGAAAATGTAAAATCAAAGTCACTATAGATAGATTCAAATGCAGCCTGCAACGACTATTAATTCCGAAACTAATTACTGAGCGAAAATACTTTCCGGGTCCACTCTGCATCCCTACTGTTTGCTTCTGTGACTGGTACAATTTCTTGGATTCTCCAGCCAGAAAATAAAGATGGGTACAAATTATATTTTTGGAATTATCTGTGCAAGTTATATTCCCCTTTAATAGAAACCATTTCATAAATGAGACAGTCTTAGGCTTGATACAGAATAACATTTTTGCTTAGTCTTTGACCTTAACTCTTAGAATACCTACATTTTAGTGACTCTGGAAAAACAAATTGTAAAATTTCAAAGTCAAAAATTAGGTGTTGTTCACCTGACAGGAAAGCCTTGCATTCTTGTAAGTAAGATCAGAGAGGGCTTCTCGTGGAGTTCATGGCTCCAGCCACCAAACTGGTCCTCTTCTCCCCAACTCCTCTCCCATTCTTACTCGTCTTCTGTATTGCTGCTAGAATGTTCATCCTTAAATATTGACTGTTTCATGTATCCCACTCAAAATCGACAGTGGTGAATTTCTGCATGCCAATCAAATGCCTCCTAAATATCTCAACAAAGAAAGCCTCAACATCTGCACAGCATGGGGGTGCCCTCAGCAGCACAAGCAAGTCAGTGGTGGTAAACGCTGCTCACTGCTCATTGTGCTCTCTCCCCCCTGCCCTGACCCCCCACAACACTTAAACTTTTAGCTAGGAAAGAGCTACCTGGAATAGAGATTTTCCCAGCCTCCCTTTCAGCCATGTGATTAAATTCTGGCTAACAGAATATAAGTGAAGGGTCGGAAGAACCTTCTAGAAGTCTTCTCTTTAGACTGGTGAGCCCCTTTTGCCCTTTCTCTTCATCCTGTTTTCTGGAATGGGGATGCTGCCTCTGAACAGGAGGATGAGGACCAGACCCTAGGGATGGCACAGAAGTAAACTAGAAGTATAGTGCCCTGAAGGCTTTACAGAACACAGCCAGCACACAAGGCCTGGACTATCGGGCTTGTTTCTTTATGACAAACAAACCTTTTTTTTTTTTTTTTTTTTTTAAGATTTCTTAATTTTTTTATTTATTTGACAGAGAGAGAGAGACAGCGAGAGAGGGAACACAAGCAGGGGGAGTGGGAGAGGGAGAAGCAGGTCTCCCGCTGAGCAGGGAGCCCGATGCAGGGCTCAATCCCAGGACCCTGGGATCATGACCTGAGCCAAAGGCAGATGCTTAACGACTGAGCCACCCAGGCGCCCCACAAAGAAACTTATTTAAGTACAGTTATTTGGAGTTCTTCTGAGGTTAATTCTCATCACTACATTCATCATTTTATCAATACCATGTGCCAGGCACTGAAGTCCTAAAGCATTTAAAAGAATGTGAATGAACATTATTCCCAGTGTCAAGAAACTTAAAACCATATTAGGACAATGGTCTTCACATACATTAAACAACTAGAGTAATATTAAAGGATCAACAATATTAATTGTTGACTGAACAGAGAAGTCGGGAAAGACAGGGGCTATTAAAAGATTATCTAGGTCCTTTCAGGAGAGATAGAATTTGGGTAAACAGTAGATAAAGATGAATAGGCTCAAGAAGAGTATGAGTACCAATGAAGGCTTACTGACTGAAATGTGCATGAGTGCTTGGGGTTAGTGAAGAGATAAGCTTGAATAAAACAAAATATGTAAGACTGTGTGATGGCTCATTTTATGTGTCAGCCTGACTGGGTTCAGGGATGCCCAGAGTGAACACTATTTCTGGGTGTTTCTGGATGAGATGAGCATTCGTATCAGTGGACTCAGTAGAGCAGACTGCCTTCCCTCCAATCCATGGAGGGCTTGAGTAGAACAAAAAAGAGAGAAAGGAGGAATCTGCCCCCTTCTCCCGCCTCACTGATTGGGCTGGGACATGTCATCTTATCTTGGGCCCTCACATTGAGCCTTTCCAGCCTCCCACTTCCCCTCAATCCATCACAGGCTCCAGCCTTAACCATAAACCACTCTCAGCTTCCTGAAAGTCCTGCTGCAGTCCTCCACCCCATTCATGAGCCTGGCATCAAAAGCATCAAACTGAGCTGAAGATCTCGGACTCCAAAAAGTAGACTGAAGGTTAAAATCCCAGAATGTCAGAGTCTGAAAGAACCTTCAGAGACTCAACATCCTCAAGTTCACAGATGGAGAAACTGGAACCCAGAGAAATTAAGCCCAATATCACACTGACAGTTCATAGAGGAGGCAGGACCAGAATCCTGGTGTCCAACTTGTAGTCAGCCTCCCCTTTTTGAACAGGCAAATTAAATGAAAATGTTTATGTTTCTGATCAAAGTGACTTTGGATAAGATGCCCTACAAATAAAGTTCCTCCATAAATTTGGGGATTTAGGGGAAAATCTCTCTCACTTTTTCTAGGCCCCAAGAGATTTTGTCATCTGCTTTGACTTCTTGGCTCTTGCCAACTAAGAAAGATTCTAAGGAAACACACAGACATACACACACACTTCTATTGCAAGGCTTTATCTGGCTACAAGGTTATCCATATAAAAAACCCAGAAGGGTATGTGAAACTACACAACGGTATCACAACGTGTCAGGTCAAACTCATTCCCTCCAAGGGCTTGTTTAAACAAGCAAAACAAAGGACAACAACAAAAAACCCCTTTCCACTTAAATGTAATGTTATGTGGACCCAGAGTTCACCAGTTCTAAAGTTTTAAATAGGATCTTTCCATCCAAACATTTAACACTGCCAAAGAAAGGTCAAGCAAACATATTGTCCATAAACAATGACTAAGCAAAAAAATTTATTTAAAGAGATTATCTGCAATAGTTAAGCCAAAAATGAAAACAATTCAAAGGAGTGTAGAACATAAACAATTTATACAAGATTTAGAAAAAAATAACAAGATAGCCCAACCAAATGTTTTCTCTGATTTCCAGACACTGTTTTTCTGCACTGCCTACGGCTTTGCATGCACCCTCTCACTGAATCCTCAAAGCTCAGGGACCAGAGGCTCACCAGCAGCATCTGAATTACTTCTGCTTGTTTCCCTTGAAGATCACGGGAGGAAACTTAAAACAATGGCTATCTACGCATTCTCCCCGCTAGCTTGCGAGCCATCCGCTCACTCACACATCTGCCATGCCAAGCTCTGTTGTTTGCAAGATGGCGAAGTATTGGCCCCCTTCCTCAGGGAGCTACAGTCTAGTGAGCAAACAGACCTGGAGACATACACTGGCCAAGCACAGTAAGCACCAGGTACAGAAGCTACAGCAGAGCAGGTGGCGGGATCAACTCCCAGGGGCTGGAGGCCAAGAGGGGCCAGAGAACAGTACTAAGGAGAGATGCTTGAACTGAGGCATGAAAGGTTCAACAGCTGTTCCCCAGGTGAATAAGGGAGAGACATTCTAGGTAAAGGAAACACAACAGGCAGAAACACAAGGGCGTCCTGGAGGACTGTCAGGCACTATAAAAAACCTGATTTCACAGGTATAAAGATGCATCGCAGGAAAGGTTCTTTCACTTGCTTTTGTTATTGGACTGGGAGAGGGAATTAGAAAGAAGAATTAAGCACATTATCACCTCCTACCAGCTTTATAGATAACCCTTTCCATTATCACTGATCAAAGTGCAAAATTAGACCCCCCATTAGTCACTGCAAGCCCCTTAACCCTCGTGACCCCTCCCTGACCACCTCAGTGGGCTCTAACATCGACCTTCTTACACTCCTCAGGTCCCCGTGTCATGGTTAGTATTCTAGAAGTTGCGACTTGTACCCCAGCTGTCCCAGCACCTGTGTGTAGGCAGTACTTTGTAAACTGAACAAGGTCCAGCTCTGCCACATCTTAGTGAGGTGACCCAGGAAGGTGCCAGATCTTTCTGAGCTTCCATTTCCACATCATAAATGCCTCCCGGGGAGAGCAAACAACACAGCAGAATGCCTGGCCTGTAACAGGTATTCTAGTAACATCGATTGCATGCCCTTTCTCCAACACCCCCGTCTGCTGTTGCCACAGAGAACCTGGTCCAAAACCTAAACAGTACCTGCCCCTATGAACTGCCGAAGGCCAAGTTCAGCACCAAACCCAAAAGACTCCCCACTTCTTTCTACCCTGCCCTTTATCTTCAAGAGATTTCTGTGGATTAAATCACATTACTAAACCTAATAGTACAAAGCCACAGAACCTAATGACGAGAGTTAACAGAAACTACGTATTGCAAGGACGACACCCATTGCCTACATGAGAGCATTCCTGAAGGTCATGGGGATGAGAACAGATACGTGATGCAGCTGTGAGCTAGTGATTATCCCACAGAATGCTGTTAAGATTTTCTCTCCTTGAAAAGAGAGAAGCAAAATTCTTCTTGGTTATATTTAGGGTTGAGATGGTAAATGGCTTAAAACGTGCCAGAATCAAAAGGAATTTTGCATTTAGTCATTATGCCTTGACCAATACTATTAATTCTACCATACTAACCTTCTCTCCGTAGATACAATAAAGCAAGTGTGGTAATTACTGACAGAACTATTCCTCTGATCTCCGAAAGGAACGTAAGTCCCGATTCTGAGGTAAGGAGAGACTTGGGGTGGAGGGAAGGGACAGGGACAGGCCTACTTCTAGGGAAAAGAGCAGGGGACACGGAGGCCAGGAGAGGAGTTGCCTCGTGACCCATCTCGACCCAATGTTTCTCAGGAGAATAAGCAAAGCCACCAAACTTGAGGGCCCAGCAGCAGGCGGGCAGTGATCTATGAGGCACTATTAGTCTACAGTCTGTGATCCACCTTGTTAGAACGGCCAAATGACGAGATGACAGGACAGCCTGTGTTGACAATGAAAGGGGAAGGAAAGAGGGTTGATGGTGGCGCCAGACTGTCTTTTCTCACTTTCTCCCTCAGATCTTAGGCCTGTTTTTCCTTTTCTATCTAGTGCTGAGAACAATAAATTTGGCTCAAACCTGTATCCAAGGGCAAGACAAAAATAAAATAAGCTGCCGGGAAATTATTCAAGCTAGCCCAATAGCCAATCTGCATCAATTTTCTAATACATTACACTTAAAAACTTTTAATTATTCATCCAATAAATACTTGTTGAGTCCTTTCTATGTGCCATCATTGTTCTGGTTGCTGGGAAACATCAGGGAATAAAGCAGGAAATATATCCTTCCGCATATGCTGGAGAATGTATCCTCCTGCATTCACAGAGGGAGATGGACAAGCACTAAGTATAATAAGTAAATTATACAGCATGTTAGAAGCTGGCGTGCTACAGAAAAAAGAAAAAAATAGAGCAGGGTAATGCAGCTGGGGCGCGGGGGGTTGGGAGAACTTCCCCTTTAAAACGGGGCAGGGGTCAGGACAAGCCTTACTGAGAAGAGGAACAGGTGAGCTATGCAGCTATTTGGGGGAATAAATTCCATTGCAAAGTACTTAAGGTGGGAGAGGTCCTGGCGCGTTCACAGAAGAACAAGGGCATCAGTATGTCTGAAGCGGGACATGACAGGAAGGCGGCGGCAGAAGGAAGTATCAGAGACGGAACTGGCACCAAGCGACATGGGGCCCTGCAGCCATCAGACTCTGGCTTTAACCATGAAAGGGAGAGCGAGCCACTGAAGGTATTTTCTGTTTTAACTATATTGAAATAGTTACTCACAAGAAGTTGTAAGAGCAGTACAGAGCTGGTGCCATGAACCCATCACCCAGACTTCCTCAACGGATGACATCTTACAGATGCACAGAGCATTATCTTGGCATAACCCAGGTCGGCAGTCTGACTTCCTCAGCCAATTGCTGTGGGCACGCACATGTCTGTCTGGTGTGTCCCAGCCTGCAGCACTTTCCCACGTGTATGCCATGCGCTACAGCTCTACCATCACAAAGGGCTCCCCCCTGCCCGTTCAGTCGACCCCATAACCTCTCATCTGTTCCTCACTCTGTCATCTTGCCATTTTGAGAACGTCCCATAAATGGAACCACACTGCATGCAATCTTCTGAGATTATCTTTTTTCACCTGGCGCAACACCCTTGAGATTCGTTCAGGTTGCTTTGTTCCCTTTTTGGTGCTGAGTCATACTCCACTCTACGCATGTACCAGCCTAACCACTGATGCACTAAACAACACTTGTTTCCAGTTGGGGGACAGGACACATAAAGCTACTCGCCAACAGCCGTTTTATATCAATGCTCTAATCTTTCACAATTACAGACTCTTAATTATTCAATCAATAAATACTGAGTCCTCTCTATGCACCAGCATTGTTCCAGTTGCTGGGACTTGTGTACAGGTTATCAGACGGACACAGTTGTCATCTCTCTCGGACAAATGGCTAGGAGCATGATTTCTGGCTCATATGGTAAGTATATGTTTAACGTTTTAAAAGCTGGCTGATTTCCAGAGCATCTGTACCATTCTGCATTCTCACCAGCAATGCATGCCAGAGTTAATATTTCCACATCCTCGCCAGCATTTGGGTTACCAGTATTTTTTTTTTTTAATCACAGCCCCCTCCCCTTTTTTAAAGATTTATTTATTTATGTCAGAGAGAAAAGAGAGAGAGCATGAGAGTGCATGCACAAGTGGGTGGGAAGGACAGAGGAAGACAGAGAGAATTTCAAGCAGATTCCCTACTGAACGAGGAGCCCCACGTGGGCCAACATGGCTGATCCCGTGACCCTGAAATCATGACCTGAGCCTAAATCAAGAGTTGGACACTTAATCAACTGAGCCACCCAGGCGCCCCTATCATAGCCTTTCTAAGAGGTTTGTAGTGGTACCTCACTGTGGTTTTAACTTGTATTTCCCTAGTGGCTAATAATGCTAAACATCTTTCCATGTGTTTATTTGCTACCCGTGTATCTTTTTGGAAGAAATGTGTATTCAAGTCGTTTGCCCATTTTGTATTGGGATTGTTTCCTTATTGTTGAATTTAGAGAATTCTTTATATACTCCGGATATAAGTTCTTTGTCAGATACGAGATTAGAAAAAAATTTTCTGCCAGTGGCTTGTCATTTCATTCCTTTAAGAGGGTCTTTTAAAAAACCAATGTTTTTCATTTTTATAGTCCAATTTATCCATCTGTTTTTATATGGACCACACTTGCACTGTCATGTCTAAGAATTCTGCCTAAGTCTCTTCAAAATATTTTACATTTTATATTTAGATCTGTGACCTACATTTGGGTTTTTTTTTGTTTTTTTTTTTTATCAAGTGTGAGGTTTAGGTCAGGATTTATTTTTCGACTACTAATGTCCAATTGTTCCTGAACCATTTGTTGAAAAGGCTGCCCTTCCTTGATCAAATTGCTTCTGCATCTTTGTCAAAAACCGGTTGGAAGTATTTGCATGGGTCTACCTCTGGGTTCTCTACTCTGTCCCACTGATCTATGTGTAGGTTTCTCTGCCAGGACCACACTTTTCTTGATTGCTGTAGCTATCGCCTAAGTCTTAAATCAGGTGGTGTAATTCGTCATGAAAAGGTTTATACAAGAAAGCGGTGTGTTCTGACTTACCTTTTAAAAGGCCACTCTACTGTAGTGAGAGTCTGCTGTCCCAGGCAAGGGACACCAGGCGAGGAGCAATGGTACTCAGACCAGGGAGACAGCAGGAGAGGTGGGAAAAATTAGAATCTGACGATTATAAAATTGGAGACCACAGAATGTCCTCCTGGATTCATGTGTGAGTGTGTGGTGTAAGGTAAGGGTGTGAGGTAAGAGAAGAGTCAGCTATGACCTCAAGGTTCTTGACCTGAGCCAATGGACAGAATGGTCATCAACTGAAGTGGGTGCGTGGGACAATGGCGCCAATTTTACAAGGGAAGGTCAGCTGAGTTTTTAATACGTAAGATGTAAGGGGCCTAGCAGACATCTAAGTGGAGATGTGAAGCAGACTGTGGATACAATCCCAAGGCTATGGAAGAGGTCTTTTTGCCCTGGAGATAAAAATTCAGAAGCTGCCAGCATATTCAAAGCCATGACATTGAATGAGATGGCCCCGGGAAAGTACAAAGCACTGGGCTGGAGGGCACTCCCCCCCCCCCCCCCCCCCGCCCCAGGTCAGAAGGGAGAGAGAGCAGGACCAGGGTGGTGGGAGAGAAGGGCACTGGGAGCCACTTGTAAAAAGTGTCTCCGAGAGAGGAACATCTGGTCACGGGGTGCAGGAGAATCAAGCAGAGGAGAGTTGCGAATGGACCAGCGGCATCACTGCAGACCTTAGCAAGAACGGTTAGGGTAAACTGTTTAAGAGAACAGCGAAGACAAACTGAAGGCAGAAGGCTTAACAACCTTCTCAGGATTTTACTCCAAAAGGGAGCAGACAACAAGGAGCGCCAGGAGGGGGAAGTAAAGAGGGGCCCTGTGTGAGTGTGTTTTAGGACAGCAACAATAAGGCATGCTTGGACATGAGCGAGAACCACCCAGTGGGGTGAGGGCTGAGGAGGGGGCGTGTTCTTGCAGAAGAACAGTAGGTAGCTGAAGAAGGGACTCTGGGTGAGCAGAAGGAAGTGGGCTCACTGGCTTTTGGCAGACTGTACCGGAAACCCCAGGCTTTGACTCTCCACTTTCTCCTCTGCACTTCCTAGGAGCCTTGCTCGGTGTCATTCTTAGAGTCCACACTCTGAGGCTAGGCCATAACTGGAACTGTCCTTACAAAGTCTCTCCAGTTTCTAAATGTTAAGTCTCTGGGACAGAATTCCAGGCAAACGTCTATGGACCAAGAAAGGATCATGTCATAATAACACTAGTAGGTAACATTTGTGGGGAAAGAGAGAAAAAAAGAAATAAGACAGTATAGGGAATGTGTCTGTGTCCCTCCATCAGACTCTCTCCTCCTCTACCCACTTAAGGGGTATTTACTGAGCACTTACTACGACGTGCCAGGATATGTAGCAGTGAGTAAGATGGACAGGGGCTCCGCCGTCTGGTGGGGCAGGTTGTAAGGCTGTAAGCAGGCAAACCAGAAAAACAGCGGGTATCAAAGTATTAACAGAGAAGCAAAGCAGGACGATGGGACATAAGATTCCTGGTATTGCGAAGATACTGAGCCGGGATCTCAAGAGGGTAGAGATCAAGGGGATATACACCAGGCAGAGGGGGACTAATACAAAGGTTTATGGCAGAAACAAGCCTGACTTGTCTGAGAAACAGAGAGGGCCTGAGCGAGGGGTGGAGGGCAGGGGGATAGTATTACTACCTGCGGTGCGGGCCAGATCACACAGATCTCATTAAACCAGGACACAGAGATGGGATTTTATTATAAATGCAACAGAAAGCCATTGAAAAGAATTAAGCAGAGAAATGGCAATCTGTTTCCACAAAATGAAGTTTTTTTATTTTCTTCAAGAAGTTACATTTCTAATAGAGTAACAACATACATTCCTCAAACTGAAAACTCAAAGCAACTACCAGTTTGGCGGAACCAGTGAAATCTTGGAGCCTGGGTGAGGTCATGCTCTGAGGAACACAGGATAGAGTCTGGCCAGTACCGCAACCTCGTGGCAGATACAATCAAGAAGACAGAAGGGAAGCAGCAAGAAAGGGGGGACACCTTCCTGGTGGTGGGGGGGGGTCCCAAGGCTGCAACGTTAAGCGGAATGGTGACACAGGCAGACAGGGCAAGGCAGGGGGTCACACACAGCTCCGGGGATGAGGACCCACAGTCAGCGAGGGGGTGGGAAGGGGCAGGAGGGGATTAGCTGAACCTACACAGGGTTTTTATCAGAGCAGGAACCTCATCAGATTTCCCTTCAGAACAAGCCCCCCCAGGGCACTTACTTAAGAAGCCTATCCAAAACAGCATTTCACTCTGCACACATTTCTAACGTACACGTAAAACAATCTCTTCCTTAAACAACAGGACACTGGTTCTTAAGACCATCCAGGTGTCATCTGTGTTAGGAACAGAGTCCTTGAAGACTCCACCAAGACCCTCTACTTAAAAAACCTCCTGTAAGAAACTAGAATGGCTGGTGATCTCCTTCACCTTCTAGAAGGCAACATAGTAAAATAACAACAGATAGAAAGAAAGGCACATTTTTGCCCTTTGACCTTCCAAGAGTTTTCTTTTTGTTCAAATATTTCCATTCCCAATTTCTCTTTGCTTTCTCCCTGGTTCCTGCAGTGATCTCTGGACATGGGGTGGAAACCTCAAAGCAAATGACAGCAACTATGTACCCAATGGATGGCTCTTGTCTCCTAAAGCTCTCCCAGTTATCCCAGGTCTCATGCCCTGGTCATGGGGTTAGCTGAACAACGTGGGCTGGGGAGTCCTGCAATCCATACTTTAATCCTGACTTTGTCCTTACTGGCCATGTGACTGGAGCAAGTCACTGACTTCGTTCTCTTACCCTTAAAAAGGAGAACCCACTGCCAACCTAGGAGGATCATTTTGGGGATTAAAAGTACAAATGCAAAGGAGGGATTTGTGCACAAAAAGCACTCAGCGTACTATCTAGCACAGACTCAGTGCCAAGCAACGTTCAATGAGTGTCCCCTGCTATCATTTCTACCATGAGTCCACCAGGGATCTCTACCAAGGGAGGGAGTACACATGACATTTAGTTAACACTTCCTGAAGACAGGAGGAGGAGAAAGCAGGCTGGGTATATTTTGTGTCCCGGCCAATTTCGACACAGCTGTGCAAAACTCAGTGAACAGCCTGTCCATGATAAGCAACAGCCGGCCCTCCAAGACACGGGTGGGAAAGCCCACGCTCTAGGCCTTCACTGCCGAGGAGCAACAGGTTGCCCCCCCTTGAAAGCCGGTACAGAAGGCCCTTGACTGGGGTGGAGCCATGAATGCCGCCCTCCCTCTCCCACCTCCCCTACCTAGCATCCCATTCCTCCCCAGCAGCAGTGCTGGCTCAGGGCCACCCGTCTGGACACGGGGACCTCATGGGCCTGACCACAGACACAACTCTGCACCAAGAACGTGACTTCTTGACGTCAGCTCCCAGTGAGCAGGGATCACTTACCAACAGGCTGCTCAGACCAAATTCTACTTGCCCAGAGTAGAATTTCTTCAATTCACTCTCCTGATCTAAGACACAAGCAGCCAGTTAATAAATATGGACACATAAACAGGTGCTCCCAAGAAAACCAGATTCAAAGATAACAGAAAAGAACTACACTTCATCAAGACAGAGAAGGGCAGGGAGCCACTGCTATTTCCATCCCCCTTACGCCGCTGCTACCTCAGGCCACGTGCCCGAGTGCTCGAAACTGGACTGGCGCTGCAAGTTTTAGGATAAACAGCTGATACTTGCTACAGCTGCATTTTTAAGAAAATGTATATGCTAAAGGAGAAAAAACTGTTTCCATACGCTGCCCCTGCTGAGAAAAACACACACCCAAATAATTCAGGAGAGGAGGGTAATCAACTAGGTCTCTCAGTCACTAAAGAAAACAAAGCCCTGGGGAGAGCAAGTCTCACTGGAGTGCAAGGCAGGGCTGCGGCCACTAGTAGGATCACCGTGGGCACTCCGGGGACAGGCAACAAAACGCACAAAGCATGTAACTTCTCATCCAGCAACGCCGCTTACAGAGACTTACCTAAGGAGACAATCACAGGAGGCAAACTAAACAATGAAATGTGTTAAAAAAAAAAAAAGAGAGGATTGGTTACATAAATCAGGACACATCTACCTAACAAGAAAGTACCCAGGAAGAATATAATTTACGGACACAGAATGGTGCCCTCCACGTGTAGGAGGACGGGACAGATTACCAACCAGCACGCAGAGTATTTGACCATTTACATACAACAGATCCCTGTGCAAAGGTGGATGTGCGTAAAGCCATCAGGAGGCTGTTCATCCAGAAATTCACGGCGGTCACCACAGGCAGTGGAAACGCTGTGAGTTTTGACTTTTCCCTCGCTCTTTTCCACACTGTTCAATTCCTTAGAGTATTCATGTGTTCTTTCTCCCAAAAGCAATAAAGTTGTATTTTTAAAAGCCGGAAAAGAGATGATACCCATCACACACAGCACACAGTCCTCAAAAATTGTATTTCAAGCGAGTATTTGTATTTTGAACCATTTTTGCTTTTAACATTATAATTTGGTGTGTGTTCCTACTAAATAAATATTGAACCTTCCATGTAACAAAATTTTAACACTTAATTTATAAGAAAACTTTATCTTAATCAAAATATTTATATACTTTGCCAAGTACTTACACATATATTCTTCTAATGTTCACAAACTTGATACAGGGGACAGAATAGTCCCCATTTAAGAATGAAGAAAATGATCTAGAGATTTTACCTGACTCACCTCAAAACAGGTCTAAGATGAGACCTAGTTTTCTGAACCCCCATCCAACACTTAGAATATCTAGCAGGACCTGGGTTGTTCAAACTCCATTATATTAAAAGGTACCCATTGCAGGGTGCCTGGATGGCTCAGTGGGTTAAGCCTCCAATTCTTGATTTCCACTCAGGTCAAGACAGACCTGGGGTCATGGGATCGACCCCCTCCCCCGCCCTGCCCCCCGTGTCGTGTCAGGCTCTGCACTCAGTGGGGAGTCTGCTTGTACCTCTCTCTCTGTTCCTCCCCCAGCTTGTGCACACGCACATGCTCTCTCTCTCTCTCAAATAAATAAAATCTTAAAAAAAAAAAAGAAAAAAGGTTACCCATTGCTTGTCTTCTATGGTTCTGGCGGACTTTTGGAATACCAGACACCTGCATTCAGTAGAAATGCACACTATTTACTCCTTGATTTAGCCAAGCTGTCCTGCATAATCTATTCTCCCTTCCTTTGGAATTTCCATCCACCTTAAAGATAAAAAAAAATCAAAAGTTAATAATCTCAAGTGTTGCTTTCTGTTGTTAAATTTTTACTGTTTCAAAACAGAGTAGCTCACTAACACTCTTGAAACCTCTTCTCAAAAGCAGCAAAAAGTTACCAATAAAAAAGCTGCAGAAATAGGGGTGCCTGGGTGGCTCAGATGATTAAGCGTCTGCCTTCGGCTCAGGTCATGATCCCAGGGTCCTGGGATCAAGCCCCACATCGGGCTCCCTGCTCGGTGGGGAGCCTGCTTCTCCCTCTCCCTCTCTCCCTGCTCATGTACTCTCTCTCTCTCTCTCTCTGTGTCTCAAATGAATAAATAAAATCTTTAAAAAAAAAATTGCAGAAATATAAAAGAGGCCCTGCCCATAGGCTCACATTCCCCAAGTAGCCTTGTGGCTCTGCCACCTGTTTACCCAAGATGCATGAGCCACCTTTACTCCTAAGGATCCCTTTACATTACCAAACTGCATATGTGAAATAATAACAACATTCCTATTTTATATTCATCAAAGACATATTTGCAACCACAGCTCTTTAGTATCAGATTCAGAGTATTATCAAACTTCCTTGAAAAAAGCAAAGGCACTTAGAATTTTATCCCTAAATATGTCACCCCATATCAAGGATAAAGATATACAGTCTTCTGTGTTTTTCAGGATTAAGGACATGAGTTTCAAATACCCACTCTTCCTGGGTCCAGGGGAACTGAGGTCCCCCAGGATCGGAACCACTGGTTTCTGCAAAGTAGGCAGCCATGTTCAAGGAAAATAACAAAAAGCAAGTCCCTACATCAAAACTTGCTATTATGAACGCAAAGTCTCAGAAAGCAAAAACAACAAGCCAGGAGCTGACAGCTTTGTGAAGCAGAATGCTGTTAAAGGATATCCAAGACACAGCTTACAGAGCATTAGAATCCCAGGACGACCAGAAAATGTTCTACAGAAACAAGGAGGGGAGAACTTGACACAAAGGCATTCTCCTCTATTAGGAAGATGCCAATTTCATAAATCAAACATCTATTGACTGAAACTGAAAGCAAGTTAATATAACTTCATCAATTATAAGATGCTTTCTTCTCCCCTCCCACAGCTCTTAAAAACTGAATACACACGGCTGCCCAAATAAAAGAAAGGGAAATGCAAACCATTTTTTTTTCCTCCCAGCCCCAAAAGCCTACGTTTTCTTTTTTTTTTTTAAGATCAAGAGCCTACGTTTTCATTTCAAGTAACTGTCTCTCAAAGTTCTATAGTCATTAGCCCTGCTAATAATATAATCAGGTAAGACAAAACCAAACTGCACCAAAATAAATTTAAAAACTAGAACTCAGGACTGAAAAAAACAAAAACCTACTCCAAAATATGCAGGCAACAAAGGTCATAATCCTGTAGGTCAACATCAGATAGTAACTAAACACCTGCTGGTACTTAGCTTGCCATTAATAAAGAGCTGGCCTGCCCTCTCAGGTGTCTACCCTCCCCTTGAACAACAAACCAGTTTTTTAAGGCCATTATTTCAAGAGATAGAACTCTTGGCACAACTTAAAAACTCCACCTGTGCTCTTGACTGGAAGGATATCATTTTTATAATCCTTTCTCATTTCAACATCACCTGCCAGATTTACACCTTTACCTGAAATCTCCTATTAACACTCAGCTACATAAGATACTACAGAAAACAAGTCACCAGCCCACCCTTCCCTGAACTAGGAGTTTGCGTTTACCCACGTGTCTGGTATTGTGTTATGTGTTTAACCAGCATTGTTATTTTTTTAAAAGACTTTATTTATTTGACAGAGAGAGATAGCGAGACCAGGAACACAAGCAGGGGGAGTGGGAGAGGGAGAAGCAGGCTTCCCGCGGAGCAGGGAGCCCGATGCGGGGCTCCATCCCAGGACCCTGGGATCATGACCTGAGCCGACGGCAGACACTTAACAACTGAGCCACCCAGGCGCCCCAGCATTATTTTAATTCTTATAATAACCCTGTGAAGTAGACACTACTATCATCCTCCCATTTTACCTTAAAGTAAGGGATCTGAGGCATAGAGAGTGTAGGTAGCAGACAAATACCCCCTTCCGCCCATCACACTATACGTTTTCACAACATGAATGCAGACGTGCATATGAACGTATAATATTCTGAAAGGAGAAAATGCTCCACCAGGAAAAGTCTTGTTGTCCATACGGATGGGTGAATTCATAGTAGAGGGAGATCTAGAGCCCATAATGATTGAAAGTTCACTTTAGAGGTAGGAAGCCGCCCCCCCCCACCCCAAAAAGAAAAAAGAAGAAACTTTCATACTTCGGTAAATTAGGGAAAGCAGAATATTCTTTAGTTAACATACAAAGTTTCATGAAATCCTGGAGCTTTTAAAATGATGAAAGTGTCAGGGCAGGAAGGAAGAGACAGATATCCTGAGCCCCTTTCTCTGTTTCTTAAGATTTTATTTATTTATTTGACAGAGAGCAACACAGCGAGAGAGGGAACACAAGCAGGGGGAGTGGGAGAGGGAGAAGCAGGCTTCCTGCGGAGCAGGGAGCCTGATGCGGGGCTCGATCCCAGGACCCTGGGACCATGACCTGAGCCGAAGGCAGACGCTTAACGACTGAGCCACCCAGGTGCCCCCCCCCCCCCCGTTTCAAAAGAAGCTATGAGATAAACAGCACTGGCAGAATAAAGTAATGGAAACAGGAGGGATCTAGGAAGAATTACACCTGGCAGAATGGGCCGCAGAAGTGGAGAGGATTTGTGTTTAAGATGCAGGAAGCCATGGGCAGGGATCCTAGGATGGGGTATCACCCCAGAGAGGCCTGCCCTCCTGCCAGTGGGTCCAACTGCAAAATGTCAGCCACTTTGCTCTGCTACCTTAACCCAGACCCCGCTCTGTGCACCTGTGTTGTCCTTTCCACCCTGCCACTGTGGACTTCAGGCCCTCTTTAGAGAGCTCACGGCCAAGCCCTCACACCGCCCTCTGGGGTCTGCTCCAGACAGAACTAGACTCGGTGGACCCCAGCACGGCACTGTTTCCTGTGCAACAGAAGCTTCTGAGAACAGAAATGATGTGTCTTTCTCTAGGGTTGTAATCTACCGAGGGTTTGGGAGACACACCCAAAAGAGTTCAGAAGATACTGAACTCACTGATCAAAAGGAAGGGCATGACGACCAGAGAGCAATGGTGCCCCAAACTCAAGTCCCAGGCAGGCTACTACAGGGAGCATTTTACCAAGGACCAACTGAGAAAAGGAAACAAGTATAAACTTGTTTTTATTTATCTCACTATAAATAGTTTTTAGTTATCTCACTGTGTTAGTTATCAAATATTAGTGCCAAGCTCATTTCACCGCATTTTACCTATTACCTAACACATTCTCCTCAAGCTACTTTCAGAGTAGAGAAAACAGTAAAATAAAGGAATTGGTCCTCAGCTAATTTACCCACCCAACAGCTTGTTCGCATCTCTTACAATTTTACTCAGAAAATTTTGTGCAATTCTCTTTCCTGCCTCATAAGAATGAAATGTAAGTGGTTTAAAATTTAGTAATCTTCTCTTCCTTAAGAGTTATGCAAAATGCATTTTTAGGACAGTGATTCTCTACTAGGAGTGATTTTTGGACACTCGGAGGCATCTGGAGACATTTTGACTGTCACAACTGGGGAGGGGGTGCTGACATCTGGTGGGGGAGAGGCCAGGCAGCCGCCTGTACAACTATGTACAGAACAGAACCCACAAAAAAGGAAAAAAAATTTCAAAAAATATCCTATTATTCTTTCATAAATGCTGTTCTTTTTTACAGATAGACACAAAGAAAGCACACACTGAGTCTTAAAATTCTAGAATTACACATACCATGGGAGAGGAAGAAGGAACAGCTGAAAGCAGACCTTTGGCATCAATTGGCCCTGATGTTATGATGCAGGGCTGTGAACTCCAGATGCTCTATCGCCTGTGGCTCTGGAGAGAGGACAGATCAGGTGTGCTTCCCTACTATAAACCACTCCGAAATCGGAACACTATTTTATCTTCTGGCACACCACCAAATGACAATTTAGGAGTAAAATATCTTAATAAATGTCTTCAGCTTTTTTTAAACACAGTTTTTAAAAAAGTGCTCCTCCAAAGTCGTTTGATGTAAATTGTGATTCAGCTAAGACCAGGCTTTTATCTTCATTTCCCCTCCAACTATGTAAAAAAATTCCCATCACTACATATTCTCATTTGTTTGGCGGGGGGGGGGGTGGGGGGGGAGGCAGAGGTGGCGGCGAAGGAGGATAAGTGTTGTATTCAGATTTATGGTTCAAAGTCACCCACAGTGATAAAACAAATCCAGAGACAACAAAGAAAAGCACCTTAGAATTTGCTGCAAAAGTTATATCCTAATGCAAAGAATCTTATCGAGGGAATGTCTTCCTTTAAGGTAAAGTTAGTTTACAACTTCCAAAGCTAAGGATCAAGTCCTACGGGCAGTTCTCCCCACCTATCCTTTCTCCTTCCTCAAAGCCTCTCACACAGGCGGGGTTAATTTCCTGGTCCCAAGAGTCCAGCACTGTACCTCGCCGTGAAGTCCTTATTGGAAGCGGTTAACAATCACGGCGCTCCTTCCTGGGGAACAGGGTGCGCGTGGATGCTGGGGGTGGGCCTGTGGGGGCCGCGGACAGCGGGTGCGGGCCACACCCGACCTCGGAACTCAGGGTCTTCTCTCGTGGGATGCTGCAGTTCTCAGGATGGGGCTCTCCAACCGGCTTTTACTGGGAATCCACTCCCGGAATAACAGAAGTGGGACGATCCCGGCCTTTGATTGAGCCCCCGCTTTCCGTAAACTCACAAAGGGATCTTTCAACCCCTTCTGCAGCAGCGCCCTCTCCCAGGAAGACAGCCCCAGACGCGCTCGCTTCCCGCTAAGCGCTAAGTGGTGCTCTCCGACGCGCCCGCGGAGGGAGGCAGCTTCTGCCGGATGCCCGCACGCCGCAGGCTGCTAAAATGGCTCGCCCGGCGGCGACGCCGGCTGACGCGGCTCGGGACGCTCCCAAGTGTGCGCGCACAGGTGTGCAGACTCCGGGGGCGCCCAGGTGTGTAAGTACAGGAATGCAAACACCGGTGCAGACGGGAGGAACGCTCGCGGGTGTGCACGCACGGGCGAGCGCATTCCGCACAGTCGCACACGTCAACCCCGCCGCGCTGCGAACAGACGACTCGCCTCCCGGAAACCCCAAACCCCGGCCAGCCTCGCGTCTCTCCAACTCACCTCCTCCAAGAACTTGGTCAAATCGTACACCTTGTGGTGCAGAATCAGCCAGGTGCTCTTGCTGTGGTTGTGCTTCTGGATCTCCTCCAGGGTGTAGTACTGGACAGCCTGGTCCGGCTGCTCGGCCATTTCGGAACGCGGCGAGCCTCAGGCCGTGCAGACACCAGCCGAGCCGGGAGAAGCGGAGCGCGCGTCTCAGCCCCTGGGCCCGGGACATTCCCGGGGCCCCGGCCCAGCGTCCACAGCAGGGCGGGCCCCGCCGCGGAGGGGCGGTGGCGCGCGGCCTCCGATGACTGGACAGAACGCGTGTCACTCAAGGGGCCCGCCCTCGGCCGACAGCGTCCGCCAACCCCAGCGCGCCCCAGCCCAGCGCGCGGGCGTCGACTGGCTGCAGAAGGTGCCCTTCAGGAGCACGGTGGTTGGAGCGCGCGGAGGGCGTGGCGAGCTGGGGCGGGGTCTCTCTTGCGTCTGCGCAGAAGGTTGCGGGGCAGGGGCGGACGGCCCCCGGCGTGGGGGACCCGCGCGGGGCGGCGGGGCGGCGGTCCAAGGACGGTCCGCGGGGGGCCAGCGGCCGCACGCCACCTTCGCCGCGATTTCGCCATCAGGGCAGATCAGCCAGCCCCGAATTTCACTGTGTAACCAAGTCACTCCGCTGCGAGTCTGTTAACTATTCAACTGTTAACCTGATGGCACAGTCCCGAGCCTCGGGGACTTAAAACACGCAGTGCCATCCCTCCGCTTCAGTGAAACAGTGTGCTGCACAGAATCGTCACTCAGTAATTCTGCTCGGCACTCCCCTCCCCGGGGTGCCCAATCTCACAGGAGGAAATCCCAGGGAAGTTATTTGTGCTGCACAAAGAAAAAGTCCTGATTCCTCAAGCTCTGAAGCACTTCTAGGCTGTCTACCCTGCCTAGGCGAGTCCTTGCTTCAGTGTCCTCTTCTGTCTCAGCGGTGTGGTGTTTACATAAATTCTAAAGGATCAACAGCATTTGGACTCTGGAACAGCAATTCCCCAGCTGAGCGAGCACGCATAAGAAGAGTTACAAATGTGTGAGGGAAAAAAACGGAGAAATCTCAGCATATTATCAAGTCATCTATTAAGGCCCTTTTCAGCAGTGAATTCCAAAAGGACCTACACAGCAGGTTACACACGTAGGTCATCTTCCTAGAGATTCAACACAGCTCTTCCACATTAGGAGCCTCATAAATGTTAGTTCCCTTGCCCCCTCCTTACCTCCTCCATTGGAATGCATGGCCATGGAGAAGGAAACATTTTTCCAAGCTTTCCAAATAGCCTTCACATATGATGGAATACATTGGTTTTCAAATACTGAACCAGCCTTGCATCTCTGAATACACCCCACTTGTTTATTGCTAAATTATATTTTGTTAAAGAATTTTTTTTTTAATCTGTGTTTATACGAGAGAAATTGGTGTGCAGTTTTCTTTCACGCATAGTATTTGTCTGGTTTGGGTATCAGAGTAATACTGGCTTCATAGAATGAATTGTAAAGTATTCTCTTTTTTTCTATTTTTCTGGAAGAGATTTGTAGAATTGGTTTTACTGCTCTTTAAAAGTAGAATAGGTAGAGTTCTCCAATGAAACCATATGGGCAGATTTCTTTTTCAGGAGGTTTTAAACCATGAATTTAATCTCCATAACAGTTCCGGAACTATTCAAATTATCTGTTTCACACTGGGTGAGTTGTGGTATTTTATACTTTTTGAGGAATTGATCCATTTCATCTAAATTGTCAAATCTATATGTGGTGTTGCTCATAATACTCCTTTATTATCCTTTTGATGTCTGTAGGGTTTATACTGATATCCCCTCTTTAATTCCTGATATTAGTAATTTGTGACTTCTCTCATTTTTTGGTTGTCAGCATTGCTAGAGGTTTGTCAGTTTTACTGATCTTTTCAAAGAGCCAGCTTTCTCTTTGATTTTCTCTATTTTTCTTTTTTTCAATTTCATTAATTTCTGTATTAGTTCCTTCTGTTTGCTTTTTGTTTATTTTTCTTTTCTTTTTTCTAGTTGCTCCAGGCAGGAGTTTAAATTATTGACTTGAGACTTTTTCTCTTTTCAAATGTTTACATTTAGTGTTATAAAGTTCCTATATATTTTAAAAATAGTAAACCAGATTATACTACTTCCCTAAACAGTTCTCAGAACTGCTGAATCTTCCCATGACTTCTAGCAGAACAGTGAGTCTCCTGAGATCATGGCCATGGCTATATCTATAATCCAACATCAATACTGTTCTAGATTTCAGTCTCAGTTCCAACTCCAGAAGCGGTTAAAAACAAAACTTTGGCACTAGTGATCTGGATCCTGCCCCTGGTTTAGTGACTTATCAGAGATACATAACTATGAGCTAGTCATTTACCTGTTCTAGGCCACTACTTATAATATGCTTAGTACAAGTTCTGGCACATAGGCAGCATTCAGTAGATTTTAGCTCGTACTGCTATTATTATTCTACAAGGCTTCCTTATTCTAAAACACAAGTATGAGGAAACCTCCTATCTGGCAGGTGCTCCAAGGTGAAGTAAATCTAGGCAAATTTGGAAAAAAACGAACCTGAGAAATTAAAGAACACAAATATTTACAAACTCCTGACTTCCCCTCCAGCAAAGACATTTTTATAAACACTTAGAAAACCAACTCCATCCCTAAGTACCTCAGGTAAAAATATACTGTAAAAAGCACTGTTTCTTTTCCACTAAAAGGCAAAAGTAAGCAAACATGATTACATTTTTACTCATTTTCTATTTCTGTCACTCATGCACAAGATGTGCTTGAACAGCCTTTTCCTGCCCATTGATAGTTAAATTCTCCATTATATAGGTATAACCATAGAGAACTGGTTCCCTCAAACAAATGGGCACTTCTACAAAGATGGGACTCCCAATTCAAATATCTACACACATAATTTGCATTGTATCCAGGTCTTTTAAATACTATATTAGCATAAGTTAACTTTTTCCTTCAAAAAATTTCTAAATCTCTCATCTATATAGCCTATTTGGTTGATTTCTAAATAATTTCCTATTAGCAATAATTTCCAAAATTTTCTAAATATTTTACATTTTTATTCATTTTCAAATAAAGCACGTATGGCTTAAGGTTGTTTCTATCCATGTATAACACCAAATGTCAGTTGAGAATCTGTTCAATTGGACTGCAGAAGCAGAAATGAGGAGTAGAGAACAATGGGTAGGTATTATCTGACCACAAAGCTCATCAAATGTCTGAAATTCATTGCTGAGGTAGGGCAATTTTTCTCACTAACTTCAAACGATGACAAATTATATATCTTATTGTAAATACATTCTTAGGCACATTTTCCTTGTATGTCCATTTTTAGAAGCAGGCAAATAAGGAGAATGTTTGATAGTAGGACATGGCTGTAATATTACATTTATTTTTTAAAATCTCTTTTTGTCTCCAGCATAAGTAAATGGAATAAGAGCAAAATGGTATACATAAGGAAAATTCCAGATATCCTATTTAACTTTGTAAAGGGATTAGGTTTCCAGACAGTTCTATGAAATACAGTTGATGGTGTATTTCCCAAGTCAGAAGCTTACAAATTATCCAAGTCATCCTCAAAATTGATTCCATCACCAAGTCCAAGAGACTTTCCCTCCTAAACATCTAATGATTGTTCTCCTCTTTTATCTCTAGTACCATTCTGCCAGATCTGCCTTTCATGATTACCTGCCTACCTGCTTACAATAACTTAACAGGTTATCCTTCTAGTCTTCAATTCCTCAGGTCCATCTTCCATAGAAGAATGAATCTAAATTAAAATCAGATCACAACACTACTTGCCTAAGACTTTCCAATGTCTCCCAAGGACTAAAGTTCCCATTCCTTACCAGAGCGTCCAAGATCATTCAAAATCTGCCTCTCTCTAGCTCCATCCTTTGTCATTTCCACCTACAGCCTAGCAACAGTGAGCTATTTTTAGCTCTCTGGAGACACAGTATCCTATCCTCACTTCCATACCCTTGCTCAAGTCCCCTTCTCTGCCAGAGTACTCTCCTCACTCCTTTCTCCCACTTCCTTTTTCTGGGCCCAGAATTCAGGACTCTTTTGACTCACCTTAGGAGTCAACACTGGAGGAGGCATGTGCTGATCATGATCACACTCCTCCCCTCCCATTAGTGCCTACTCAGTATTCCTTGATTCTCTGATTATCTCTATCACACACTCACTACGTCATCAGTACACACATCTGCCCTTCTCACTGGGCCAAGAGTTCCTCAAGGGTAGATACTCTGCTGGTCACAGCTGTGTCTTCAGCACAGTGCTTAGCACTCAGTGTGTGCTCAATAAATGTTTTTGGATGAATAAAGGTATAAACTTATATAGAAGTTGGCATGTAAGTACTTGGAAATGTCATAATTTTACTTTAACCATACTGAAAAATGTGGATTAATTTATTTATCTGTCACTAGCAAGAGGCACTTGTTTTCTAACTTTTCACAAGGCATCTACTAGAGATAAGTTTTCTTTACTTTTCCCGTTCTAACTTTTCCCAAGACATCTACTAAAGATAAAACTGTTTTCTTTCTTTCCCAGCCTAGGAAACAAAAAAAGAGAGGCTAAATGCAGCAGCAGCATGAAAATAGCTTAAAATGAACCATGTACACACCTAGGAGCAATCCAAAGTGCTTGATGCATCCACGTAAGTGTCCAAGTGATGTGAATGATGAAGAGGGCAGTGGAGTTCTTGCAAGCTGGAATCGCTATGTCAGAAACAGTTACCTACTTGAATAAAAACATCACTTTGGACCTCTAAGGTTGATGCTAGAAAGAAGTAAATATTAGTCTCTGGATATCCTTATTTGCCTGATTCTCTCACTGATTACTGATATCACTCCCTGCCACCCACTACCACCCTACTCTCCTCCTTGGCACTCTGGCATAAGTATGAAGAAACAGCTCTCAGCTTTCTTACAGCAGGGCCAGAATATTCAAATGAACTTCGCTAAAGGAAGCAAAAAATAATTTTCCACAATACAGTGATCCTAGAGCCTGATAGAGTCTGTTTATCTTTAATAAATGAAGCAGTGATGTCAACTAAATCAGTTCATTAGATTCTTAATTCTCCTTAAGTGACTATGAGCACACACCCAGTGGGAGCCCCTTCTAGGGACACATCATGCTAAGTCCCCGTCTCCCTCTGTATGTTTGAGGACAGCTGATTATGCTCCACCCACAAATACAATCTTAGACAT